TGATAAAAGCCACTTAGCTTGCAGACGCCTCGTGTACGTCGAAAGAAGAGAGGTTGTGATATGCGCTCCCACGAGTCTCCTGGTGGCAAATCAAATAGCATCCTGGCGCACATGCTGTGCGTGCTGCTCTGTGAAAATAACACGTCAGACCGGCAAGAAAAAAAAAGGAGGAAGAGGAACACAGGAAATAATGAAGACAACAGAAGATCATGGGAGAATATAGAGTATAAGTAGAATCATTGCAGATGACATGGACATCCTAAAGTTCAGATAAAAATTTGTAACGTCAATGATAATAATTCTTGTTGGAATTCATAAGAATTTCTTTCGCTTAATTCCCATCAAGGATTCAGAAAGGATCGAAACCTACCTATATAATCAGTAGAAGTATCATGTACCTACAAATTATATTCTACTATAATAAGTCATATATAATTGAATGCCTCCAGTGGTGAAGTAGGAATATTCGTGATGAGTATAGTTGAAAGTTTCATATTAGTTATTCCCATGGTATTACCCGTGACTATTTACCATTGTGTCTACGTGTTGGATGTCTCAGGGCCATATAGGTACTATAACCCGCGGACGTTAAATCGAATCTAATGCAAACAGGAGTTACGTTGCGCCTGTATCGCTTACTGGATCGAGTGCTGTATTCATAGTATCCTCTAGAACAACGACCATCATCAGTCTGTAGCTTTACAGCGCAAAATGCAAACAGACGCTCATGCGATGTTGCTAGTCGCTGATTCCTAATCAAGTTGCACGACGAAAGAGTAATGTTTGTTTTATTCCTATCATTATTTGCAGTGGTAGCTGGATACACTTGGGACAGGTACTCGTTATAGTATATTCAGAGCTGCAACAAACATGAATAAGTTTTTTCAAATGGACACATGAGCTTTAGAATAGTCAATGATTTAGGAGATAGATACTCACCAGTCATGACTGTCATGTTTATACTTCAACTGGAAGCAAAATATAGTATACCTGATATACCTCAGTGGATCTATTTTATATTTTGGATTCGTTGGGAGAATTTATGAAGTTTTTTTAAGAGGTCAAGCCAAATACACTCTTTGAATGTAAAGGCACAGGGAAATCTGCCTGTGGATGCATATCTGAGTACAATGGAGTTTAGCTGGGGTGTTGATCAAGGGTGAGTATTCAGGGTGACATTATTTGGCTTTTCATTGAGTCAGAGTATTAGGAATGAAATATATGCTGTTACCTTATATATATTATTGCAGGATGAAGGATCAGGTGTGAAATCAGTGAAACGTATTCAGAAGCTTATGCACCCCAATAATATGCGGATGACCTAAAAGGGTGTGTCGACGTAGGTTTGCTGTAATAAAAAGATTATTTATTATGTATGCATATATATATTTTTCAATTTTGTAAAAAAAAACTTATCCACGACATTCCAAGTATTATCTGTGATTATTACCTGACGTGTATTTATGTTCTTTTAGAATCCAGGTACCAGGTTCACACTACAGGTTCATACACCTACAGGTTCACGAGGGTTGGTCGTTCTGGGGGAAAATTCTCGTGATTCAAGGAGAATTTTAAATAAAGATACACCTGACGACCTATTTGGTGATTCATGAAAAAGACAATGATAACTAGTCGCTCCAGAAGAAGAGTTTCCCTGCGTGAGCCAGAAAATGGTTCTTAACAGCCATATGTGGCTAAATGATAGATTTTTTCAATGCCATCTGCTCGCCTTTTCTTTTTCTTAAAGAGGAGGATGCGGTCTCGACAGAAGATAGAGAAGCTTCATGGCTTTACAAGAATCTATACGGATCAACCGTGTATAGGTATACACGTGCCTAAAAAATTCGGGCCAATTTGTGCCATTCAGAAACTATCAAGTCTGATGTGTCAAAACAAGGTTAAAAGGGATCGATTCATTTACATTACAAAGGTTGATCAGAACGTGTGTTACTAACCGGACGAGATGGTGTAAGGTACCATGTCATTTTTTCGAAAATGAACCATGAAAGACATCACCTACCAGCTCTCTAATTTATTCAGGACCCAATCATTGTTAGCTACCTATGATACACCGTTTTACCTAGAAAGCAGCATTTTTGAAATCTGCATACAAAGTCCCTCAGTGCTGGACACGGGTATCTACTTTTATTTCCTTTATTATTATACACGCCAAAGTCAAGAAATATCAGTCATCCGTAACACTCATAATGGTTTTCATTAAATATTTAAATTTCAGTCGACCGTCGCTTTAGTTCGAATTTCAAACACAACCTGGTGACACGATTGGATGATTAGCATTGTGCAACAGTGGCCTTATCAGGAACTGTTGGTGTATCGAAAAGGAATATTTATTCTGTCTCTCGAAATGCACCCAATGAAAACCGATAAAGCATCTCTAATCTTGAAATCGTCTTCTTGCAGACTGCACCCGTGTTCGTATTATGAGACTTTTACGTATCTACCTTAAGTTTCTTCGTTTCCCCTACTGCTGCCAAAGACTGGAGGATGTCGAACAAAGAAGTTTAAACTACATAATGAATGTATTCTTTCGCCCGACCGATTTTCGAACGATGCTCGTCACGACATTTTAAGGTACTATGCGCATGCGTGTAGTGTAAACCTAAAATGGATCCCGACAATAGGAACAATTTACTCGCCTGAAAGGCTAGTTTAGTATTAAAATCTCTATTCTTACCTGCCACTTTTAAACCTGCAACCTGAAGACCACCCTAAATCTTCAGAGAAGTCTTCTCGATCTTTCCTCAGAGACTAAACCCTGCTTTCCACACGGCCCTAGAAAATATCATTTAACTGATATAATTATATTAGAGTCGTATACATTTATAGATGGCAAATAAGTCAGGCCCGTACACACAGCACGCAACAATGCCGGCAGATTTGTTCTGAACACTTGAACAATTGCCACATTACTGACACATCGCCATACAAAGATTTCGTCTTTCCCTAGTTTAAACGTGGCCTAACACAGATAAAATTTGCCATGTAAGATTTTAGTCAAAGCAGATATAATGTGAGAATTTGAAGAAAAAAAAAATGGTACAAATGTCTGTTTTATAATCGTAGTTATAAGAATGAATCATTGTCATGTAATTAGAAATAAATATACCCACCTCGTTACTCTGAATATTTAATTCGAAATTGTTCATTGGCAAACGGTGGATAATTGCCTATATAAATAATTGGTGAAAGATCTCATTAGGCATTTCTGACTTTACTCAGGCATAGACTATAAAGTCTAACGAGATATGCGTGGTCAACATGAATGAATAATTGAACAATACCAAAATCCATATCGACAGGCTTTAAGTCAGGGTTTCAGTCTTAAATTAGATATACGTTAATTACGAAGACTCGTCCTATTTGTCTTTCTGCTGGTTTAACAGTCTAAGGAATTACGGATTTTCTTTAACGAGTAAGAATACTTTTACCAAAGGCACTTAGCACTTATTCATCTCCATAGTCACTGGACGAAAACACTGAAAAAAAGAATTGTATTTATTTAAATGTCACATCTACGTCAATCCACATCCATAATTAGCAAGTGACACGACATTACCAACATCAAACAACGTAAGTTTGTTTCTATAAAGTCCAGAGGGATATTATAACCAAGAAAAGACGGAAGGAATAATAAAGAAGAAATATAACACGACGACAAGGAGGAATAAAGGAACACTCGAAGTCGCAGGGCATGGTAAAAGAACGTTATAGTTATCCGTGTATAACGGTTTATCCATATTTGAACAATATTAATTTCACTATAGAAGCTAACAGCAAAGGGTCTCTCATTTTCTCCGAGCTCTGGTGGCCGCTCGTGGTATTAATTCGAGAGCATCAAACATAAAAGGGAACTGCAATCATGTTACACAACCGGCTTACCGACCTGGTAGAAGGAAAAGATGACAGGAGAGGTTATGCGCAAAAGAAGAAAGAAAGCTTGGGGGTTGCTTTCTATAAAGTGGCCGTATAATCAAGAATACCACACGGAACGCTGACACGTATTATTTATCATATATGAATGTATTATTAATTTATCATATGAATAAAGATCGTTTTACTCCATTTATACTAAGGCATCTGCGATCTAACTTTACGTCTGATGAAGACTGGATGTCGATTGTCCGATGTCGAAGAGGACCAAAAGAATTCAAAGATCCCATCTCTCGGGACCAGGAATCATGAGGCGGCGTAATCATTCAAATTATAGGGTTTCCTTGGGGTATAGACACCCTTGTTAACCAGCCGAAATAAGGTGACCTGATTATCCTTTCGTACCTGCTAAAATTGTCTGGACCAATAAGATCCTTTAGAATTGATCAATTACAGCTGAATGATTTTACCCAGTAACGTTTCACACGCACTTCTAATCAATCATATATTATTCTACCAATTTATACGTTTTTCCGCGTGAGTGATCTCCAATTTCTTTTTACAAAAAAGAAAAATATATCAGGATTAACAGTGAAAATTATATGGTACTTTGAGTATTGATAGTATAATGTAACTTGAATATCTGCTGCATGAGTAAATCCTAAGGATTTTAAATAAGACTATAAAATACATAAGCATATTATTAGCCACTTAAATTATATTCTAAGATAATTGCGTAACGATAAAATATGGCAGCTTATTGCAGTAGCCAACAAAGAGATTTCCTTGAGGGTTTCCAACCCATGTAAAATCATTGAAACGTATCTGGCCGCATGCATAACCACTTCGCTCATCCATGATGATTCTGCTATGTCATGCGAATCGATCTCCGGTTTCCACGTCTCTGACTTTACTGTCGAGCCAATTAGAGATCCATGAATCGTTAACTGAATCGACGTTGATTAGCCATTAAATGGGTAATAAATAATATTAAAAAGTCATAATAAAAAATTACTAATGCGTAGATTATTTTCGTTGAAGTTAACGTTTAAAAAAAAATTAAAAAATAAATAACAGCGTATAGGTGGGTAGAGGAAAGATTGTCAACCTATAAGAAAAACAATTTATTTTAATTAATATCTTCTTCAGCAATAATAAACATATTTTTGGTTTTACCGATTAACATGAATCATACATATGTCTCTCATTCTCTCTCTCTCTCTCTCTCTCTCTCTCTCCCTGACGTGTAAACACTCAAAACGTTTATCTCTCATTCATCCACAGAAAAATACACGACGCACGCGCCCATACGTAAAACGTACAACGCCCTGCTCTATATTCATTTTTTTTTTCTACCAATTATACAAATTTTAAATCGTAAACGAAAGTAACTCGTACGATCAGCTTTCTGCGCGATCGATCGCGGAACAGTTGACTCGTAGGGTCAAAAAACGCGAAGAAACAAGTATACACAAAAGAAAATAAGAGAGAGATAAAGAAAAATGTAGTGTCCCGTTCACAAATAAGCGACACGATCCTTTACGTTTCCTTGTGCTTTACCTAACTCTCCTCTTAAGTTGACTACGTGGGTAAATTACAATACTAATATAATACAATGTGTACGGACGTACGCTCGGGGGCCCGAGGCCAGGTGAATTTCGAATTTTCATCGTGTCTGCTAACACGGCTAATAAAATCGATCAGAGCATATCGATTGATCGTATTAAAGCGAGTCGCAAGTCAATGATGAGAAAGAAAAGAAAAGAAATTAATAAACTAAATTCATACATATCATTGCGATCATATTAATTTCAGCCATCGATGAAAAGCCAAATACTACCGGCTGACCAGCCTGCCTTATAATATCTTTGGTCCATTAGCTGTTATGAATCATTGCCGGACAATAATTTTGTACAATAAAATTCTTGACTACCGACATTGTTTTTTTTTGTTTTTTTTTTTCTAGTTTTTGTTACCACGATAAAAACGAGGCTCATTGATATGCTTTACACGGAGAAAAGATGTGCAGGGTGTGCAATAAACAATTGTCATTGCTGTTCACGGTATGATCGTCTTTTTAGAAAATAATCATTTCAACTGTAATCGGACCGGTGCCAGGGGGGTTGGTTGAGCACTGGGAGGGGTGTAGGAGACGCTTCGCGACGCCGTCACACTTAGTCACCCGTCAACCAAATTCAAAAACATGGACGAACAATTTTTCGAAATAGCAAACTACAACGAGATCACGATGTTGTACAACAACGGTGCCAGGGACGTGGTCCACTCTCTAATTTATATATAAATTTGTATTAGATCCTAATTATAGGCTAAAGTACGTCAACGTATACACTGGTACGTGCGCTTGATCGATCCCACCAATAAGGGCAGCTTTGGCTTCGATGGACTATACATATATAGAAAGATATAGGCTAATCATACAATTACGTTCTATTTTTTTTTTTTTTAAGTACAACTCCGCGATTAGAGGATTACGCAAATTCTCGCGCACATCGATCGCCCCGGTAATACCGGAGTCGCGTACGCGTGCATGCATTTATAAATAAACAATTAATCAATTAATAAATACGAATCAGGTATGCGGTGACACCGACGAAGAAAAAAAAAAATAAAAATAAAAGAACAAAGAAAAAGATTATAATTAGATATCAAGGCACATAGAGACACTTTCCTCGTAGAGCAATTATACTGTATACGATTTGGTTAACGTAACGAGCACGTGATTTGTGGCGTTCGCTTTAAAAGATGTTCTGCGCATGCGCGTTCAGCCCATTAGTTAACTGGAAGTGTCGCCGTAATCGCTCCTACACGAAGAATTCCCCCCTTGCAGAAGCGCCAGCTCCTCGACTACCCTAACAAGTATGACCTCTGGTTGCAGTAACGAGAGACGCCGCGACGTCTTCAGCTGCTACCGGGTAAGGATATCGTGCGTGGATAAGTCGCAAGAGCAGAGGACGAGGAATGATGAAGGCTCGTTACGTTTCCAGTATTCGTGGGAGGCACTTGAAGAGAACGATAGTCCAGCGCTGGTGCGGCCGGATGCTGACCCTCGCGATGACGACGCAGATCGACTTTCCTCTGGAAGGCTTTGTCGCAAAGTCCACACTGGAAGGGCTTGTAGCCTGTATGCTTACGCATGTGCGTGATCAGGTTGCTGCTCTGGGAAAACGCCTTGCTGCAGACGACGCACTTGTGCGGTTTTTCGCCTGAAACAGAAAGAAACAGGGAAAACGTGAGGTTCTCGTTCGGATCGATCGAAATTAATTCGATTATTGTAAAGAGAAGTATCTTGGAACGAGAGATTAAAAAGGAAACGTCCCTGATGGACCGTTACCCAATATAATTGGTGAATGTGACAATATTAATCTGACCATTATTGTCTGCTGGTCCAGACCGTTGTCAATTGTCGATGCGACGCGCGCACGTTTCAATTGTATCGAGGACGCAGAGAGAGGCGCTAGTCGATTAGAAAAAACGTCAAGGTTAATAAAACGCAGCTGAACCAACTCGTAAATCATGAACGTGCGTACGAACGCGAAAGACTTTTGCGCCAAGCCCGAGTAAACCTATAAATTCATACTTGAGAAGAAGTCTGAGACGCGAATGGACGTCTTTTCCCAGAAGTCTCAGCGAGTCCTCGATATCGTATCGATCTGTTTGTGTTTTGAATCGATCGATCGATATTCTCGGATATATCATGGCGGACAGTAGGTAATTACAATTGTTTCGTATAGTTTAATGTGCTAGAAAGAATATAGATAGATTTTTTGTTGGAACTTTCCCGTGGCAAAGGGCGGGAAATACAATTCAAATGTTTTCACGAGTACGAGGGACGGGGAGTCGTTTCAATTTCGTAACCACGTCGGTAACGTCACTTTGTCACAGTAATAGACGCATTTTGGTCATTAATATGAAATCGATGAAAAGGCTTGGCACTTATTGGTTGTAACTTACCTGTCGTCCTGCGACAATGTATACGCGAGGCACACTGCTACCTATCAATCGGATCGACATGACGGTTAATAAGAAATATTACGGTAGGGAGGTTAGGGATGAGGAACGGGGGAAAGGTGAGTTTGGAAAGGTTTAAGGCTGTTATAAAATGAGAATGACAACACCATTGATGGATGGCGATAATTTACCAAATACGCCGCCATAATGACATTCGCGCTGTTTTCATCAGGCGACGTTGCCTAATTTGATTTAACGATACGACGCAGAGTAAATATTCGTCGTTGCCATTGGGTTACGAGCAAACACTGGTATCTCGCGGTAGTCTTTAAAAACCTTAAATTTCAGGAAAGCAGGTACACAAAGAGAGAGAGAGAGAGAGAGAGAGAGAGACAACAGACATCGCGCAATATAGATATACCGCAAAGAATTTCAGGAAAGCAGGTACACAAAGAACGATACGACGCAGAGTAAATATTCGTCGTTGCCATTGGGTTACGAGCAAACACTGGTATCTCGCGGTAGTCTTTAAAAACCTTAAATTTCAGGAAAGCAGGTACACAAAGAGAGAGAGAGAGAGAGAGAGAGAGAGACAACAGACATCGCGCAATATAGATATACCGCAAAGAAGTGGGACTTGGCTACGAAATAAGTAGGGAAAAAGCCACGAGGTGACAGCACCTATGTATATAAAAAGGGCGGGGAATTCGAAATCATAAATCTCTTATGTCTCCTCGACGTAGCTAGATGTCACCATCGTCGCATCGATATTATCGTCATTATCACGTAAGCGTGGTAAACTGTACTCCTCCTTATTAGCTTAACCTTATATACATATAGACTGTATAAATGAGCGTCATGACGCCTCGGAGAATCTGTCTAAAGATAGATATTTCGAAAGAGACGCAGGCGGAAAAGATATATAGAAACAAATTGTATTGACATACTGAATCATCGTCATCGTAAAAAGCAGTAATAACTATCCGTGCGCGTTTCCCAAGCTTTTGTCCGTTTTTTTAAATTAATTTCACGAACGTTACGATTAATGTTATTACGATGCCCTGATAAGAGACCTGCTTCCATGACAATACATTCATGACATGTCCATATATCCGTATTTTTTTTTAATAACTTGGGATAAGGACGCCCGGCGTCCCCGGTATAATATCGTCTCAGCCGGAACGATGTTTTCCCAGGTCTCACTGCTTGGAAGTGCGTACGTCCGAATGAAAACACAATTAGTGTAATTGTCTGACCGGATTGTATGTTTTACATACAATTTCGTGTATCTCAAACGAAATGACCGATGCTAAGTGCCGCTTCGCTACGCCAATAACAAAAATGTTTTCGCGATATTCCCTGTTCTCGCCCATCGCCTCGAACGACATCACAGACTGCCTGTCATCCACGAAGGGAGTTCAGGGGGGGGCGGCGTCTCGACGTTCAGCTTCGACCTGAATCATCAGGAAATTCTCATAAATTCATATCGCAATGAAACAATAAACAAATAAATAAAGCAGTCTGTATAATTCCGATTACCCTTCTCAATTCGGTAATAACAATTCAATTTGCCAATCGAATAACGCACTAAAAAAATTCCAGTATAACCTCAAACAGTGGATCTTCGAAATTTTAATTTTTTTTTTTCCTTTTCCTTTCAATCTCTATCAATTTTCCTACGAGCTATGGGGTATCGACGTGATTATTGTTTTTAACACGCTAATGACTAACTGAATCGCAAGAAGGCACAGTAGGGCCTCTTTGCAGCAACAGCAACATTTCCTAAGGGTGGTGTGTCAGCGACCCAAGAAATGTACATCGATCGTTCTCAACGTTCATTATCAACCCCTTACCGACGACTTAAATATTTACCCGCTGAAACGCTAGGTCCGCGGCCGATTTTAATGACAGGTCTAAGGCGCAAATCATTCGAGTGGGTTATGACACTGAATTATGTAAAGGCGTCCTAACGAACGTGAAATAACAGTTGTGTCACTGCGGGATAACAAATCGACGAAGTAAACGTATACACTCAGTTCCTTTTTTTAACCCTTAATGAGAATACGTCATTAAGTCTTTATTACCGTAATAAGCTCTGTGTGACCAGATAAAGAAACAAAAACGAAAATGAAATATCCCAGTCGAGACTGATAAAACTTTTCATCCCTCGGTACGAAGCAAAGAAATAAAAACAAAACAAAAACCGCACAAAGGGGTAAAATTTTCAAACTTTCGCAGTTCGATAGCGGTTATGGTGTTTAATTATTTAGTGTCCACTGCAGGAGGGAGGAGGGGGGAGGGAGGAGGCGCGAGGGTTGATACTTACTACTTACAACTACCCTGCGTTCCTAGCTTCGAACGGAACCCCTCTTCTGCATATAAAGCACCCTAGTAGAATCCTTTCATAACACCGCCTCTCTCCTTCTCAATGATTCAAAAGTCCCGGGTTATCGCGAGAAAGTAAAAAAAAAAATCCTTTGTTTCCTTATGGCCAGCAGGTACACGCGACGAAGCGAGCGGATATTTTTCCTTTTCCTGACGTCAGCCGACCGGGGGGTGTCGCGACGCCACGTCATCGAATGCACAGCGTCGTCACCGGTACCCGAGAGACGTGGACGTGATACGCATGATATACAGACACGTCGATTAAGTTGAAAAAAAAATTATACTTTAGTTTAAGTTTTACTCGGTCAGCCCTTATCCTCCCCTATCTCAGTGTCCCCTGCGATAATTAGCCCACCTAGGTAACAACTAGCATCGCCACGTGTCCAGCGCACGCCGACCGGAAGCTCGCTTAGCACACACAAACAGCCCATTTTCCCATCTCACCTTCCTTCCGGTGAGTCTTGGAACACTGGGGCTATTAAATCGGCGCCCGGTTCTTCCCCTCTTTACTTTACTACCCCTCCGCAGCGAATTTATCGCTCCCATTCGCCTTGGTCGACCACTTTTTCCTACTTCTCTTTGAATTTCCATTTCTCTCCGTACCTCCCCTCAAAGTCTCATCGGCCTTTCTCACACCTCCGTATGACTTCCTATCCGCTGCACAATGTCTCCTACAACGATTCAAATTGTGTTTAAAGTATTCATAAAGTACATGTATATTTTTCAAATTCCTTCGCCATCTCTCGAAAGCACGAATCGACCGATATTCCGCTCTGTCGTTGTCGCGACTGCCGTTTCGCAAACCTCTCGCCATAGGATCGAGGGCTCGAAGTTCTCTGGAAATTGTTAGTAATGATCCTAATGTTTCCTGCATTATTGAAAACACGTACGATGCACTTGCTGAGGTATCACGTCCATTGGGGTAGGTCTTGGATCATATATACACAATCATCCCTACGAGGTGGAAACATATGCCTCGGACTAGGGTCCACCCTCGGCGATACAAATTTTCTAAGACACTACCCACACCCCGTCGCCTTGAGATTCGCCTGATATAAAGATCAATGTCGATAACACAATCGTTGTATACTTTTTAATCCACTCGATGGTCGTTAGGCCAAATGCATTCAATACTACCTCGTACTGTACCCTCGGGTACGTATTGCGGACCACCCCTAATATCACAGTCGCATTAAATGTTTCCCATAATATAAGTACACAGTGAAAGCTCGACTCTCCCCCTCAGCTACCCCGAAAAAAAAGCAAATGAAAACCGAGGCATGCCACATACGTGCATAGGACACATGAGCGAATCCATTAAATATTAAAATGCGATGGACTGACGATTTCCCATTGCATTTGGAATGCCTTAAAGGTATACCTATATGTACAGCAATATTGTGACATATAGATAGGCATAATCGAATGGGATCAATCGATCAAAATTATTGATCGGAATGACCGTAGAAGAAAAGATAAATAAAAAAGAAATCGTTGATTAACATTTTCAAGGATACATTACAACTTTTCATTATTCCAATATTCATCATAAATTGATATCTCCTTCTCTACGGGTATCGTAGAGCGCTCAACTGTATCCTCATGTGAATTTAGCTTTACACGATGAGGATATGTTTTGTGTGAACATATCGACCTGGAAGCATGCGTGATTCACTGACACGTGTTAATAGAGTGCAAGTCCGTATGGGGCGTGAGAGTGACATTAGGGGATGCGCTCCCACAGATATACTTTCCTGTCCCCGTTACACCTTGGAAACACGTATACAGTACGTATGTAATGTACAAAGACATCGGTACGAGTCAACTGGACAAGATAATTCAACGAAGATGGATTTTGAGAAGTAATGAAAAAAATTTTTACTTATGCAAAAAAAAGTCTATTAAAAAAAAGGCCACCGCATTGAATCCCACGAAAATTACCTAAGTGGACAATAAAATCGAATCGAACGATAATAACAAGTCAGTTCGATGTACAGGGTTAGAACGATAGTCACAGCATAGTAAATGTACCGGGAGTCAAAATTATTGGGTATTACCCTGGGGGTCAAAGAGGGGAAGGTAAGCCTATAATTAAACGTAAGAAAGATCGTAGAAACGAAAGCTTCCTTGATCTTCCAGCCGGTGAGACTTGGGACAGGGTGGTGATAGCGAAATAATAAATATGCATGAAACACGTCGGTGCCATCGCAGGAAAACAATAGACTAGGCCTGTAGTAAGAAAGAAGGGAAAAAAAAGCGTATAAGACATATTTCCTCCGTACGTTGCTCTAGGGAAAGCTATGGGGTACGACAGTAACACCACAATTTTCTCAGCGGCTTCAATTTATCCCTCCCCCCTCGCCCCGTTCATTCTCTATGGGATAACAGGCTAAAGTGCACTATTACCCAATACATAAATTATTTAACAGGAATTCGTACGTGTCGTGGTCAGCGATCCTCGTTCCCTACTCCCAGCCGAAATAAACGTGTCATTGCGTAACCCCGTACGAATTCGATAATTCCCTAAAAAAAATATATATGGCCGAGGTCGCACAGGTATACGGAAAAAAAAGTCTGATAACGATAATCCTGTTTGTAAGAAAAAAAGAAAATATAATTTTTTAGATTTTTTTTTTTTTAGTAAAAAGCTCGTTTCACTCACCGGTATGTATATAGGTATGCTTCTTCATGTCACTCTTCTGATGAAACCTCTTTCCGCAATATTGACAGGGATAAGGTCTTGTGTCAGAGTGTATGAGAAGGTGAGTGCTTAAGGTACTGGACCTCTTGAAAGCTTTTCCACACTGTTTGCACTGAAAGTATAAAAGAAAAATATTTCGTCATTTTTTTTGTTCACTCGGAAACGTACAGGAGTAAATTATAGCGATAGCGTGGTTACGCAATTTTCAGAATCATTATTACCCAATCATTTTTCATTCCCTACGCGTAAAGCCCGTAGGCATGTAAGACATACGTGAGAGCTTTAACGCCATTGATATGTTGTAAGCTGCGAACGCTTTCCTCACAGTGATATCAATGTCCCTTAATGGCGCTTTCGGAGTTCCTTATTCCTTTAACAATGTCCAGCAGCAATGGCGCAATATGTCACGTACAGAAGATATGCAGTTGATACCTGGACTTGTAGTCATGCCGTGACGTTAATGGAATGATTTGTCAAAGGCTTATTTTCCTTGACAATTATTTACCACCTTCCATACCAGAGTCAATCATTGTCAATGCAAACCCAAGTCATATAAATAACTCACGTGCCTTGAAAATTTATTTCGTTTCGATATATTTATGTACCGATATACATTTTTCCTTCTACCTCCATTTTCTTCATGCGCAAATTGCCATGATATCTAATCTTCAGGCAAGATTCTGACAGCTAATTTCAAACTGTACATAAAACGTACGTCGTTGCATATGTAGAAAACGATGTGGAATCAGAAATTAAGCTCTACAGTCAGCTAACTGATAGCGATAATCACCTGATAAACAAAGAGTATCGTAAAAACGTGCATCATAGAAATGAAGTATTGACGATGAGTATAAAACGAATGAATAAAGGAACGGTATATTAGTATGTAAATACAGGAAATACATCCTGATGGAGTATCAGGAAGATCGAAAATCAATACCATTCATGACAGACGTTTCGGGTAAAAGAATAATGAAGAGGAGAGAATGGAAAAACAACAACAAAATTATAAATTACCCAAAAGGGATCTTCGACGCGAGTCCGTGCGTTTATGCCTATGCTGTATATTTTTCCTCAAGCCTCCCAAGGGTTATGGTAGTAGAAGTCACGTGAGGCGACGCGCTGCGACGCCCAGTTGCACCTGTGTTTGCAGAGCGTCGCTTTTTTTTTCCTATCATGTGGCGCGCATACAGGCGCCAGTGTATGACAATACCGTAAAGCCGTCCATGGTATCCGCGTACGAGTGTACGATACATGCCAATTTTCACAGAAGCGTCATCGGGCTTTATACGCTTTGCGTCGCGACGTCTAACCATCGGTGTGTTTGTTTGCAGTCGGTAGGTAAGCGAAGGAACCTATTCTCCTTGGATGTACAAGATAATCCTTCTACGGACAATCCTTACTGTCGCTATTCGCTTGGCTCTTCATCGTCGCCATAACTCATCGCCGGCTGATTGTTTCCGATAACAATGATCGTAGGTAGGTGATCTTCCCTCGAGTACATGGGACTCTTGCGTGTTTCGCATCTATATATCCAGCCTTGTATAAACAGAGCACTTGTGGTTGGGTTACATATAGATGTACGATTGTTCATTTGGTGACAAGACATTCGCGATGACCGACGTCAGATAGCCATCCTGGTCATTTGTACATTTTATTTCTGAATATCGTGCACCCTTGGGATAAGAAAGGTAACGTTACTTGTATTGCCGTGGGTATCCCCTAGCGAGACAGTGTTGAATATATGCCTGTCTCTGTGGATTTTCCTTAAACGCGATGCGTCGCGACGCCACAGAGTCACGTCCTCGGAAAGGACCTAATGATACCGTGGAAAAAGTTTTGCCGGTGAAAGTATAGGTTATTCCGTACCAGGTATTGAGATTCCTGAACTCCTGGGAGTCATTTGGGATGATTGTGCTTGACGTGTCTCTCCTTTTTTGCCCTCAAATATATTATGTATGTCCTCTGTACAAGGTATAATGGCGTCGCGAGTCTTTTTGCGCAACGGTCAATATGACTGTCTTGAATAACCTATAAAGTATTGCGCTGTAGAAAAAGATATCCACGATCTAAGGGTACGCGATCGATGTCAATCGAGATCGTTAATAGGCGCGACACGAACTCGAGAAGTTGCATAGGAATCGCAAGGAAGCGAACGGACAATAAGATTGTAAGGCAGAAAGAGCGAAGGAGTGGAGCGTAACAATGTGCAATGACTTATTCCTTCGTGTCTTCTATCCTGGTGGCTCCTTACTTCTGTACTTATAACTATTCGTTTCCGTTGCTGTCAGGTAAGACACAAGAGAAATATCTGCACTGTAATATACATTTCCTAGCGTTGTTCGACTTCGTTAACGAATATAAAGTAGCGTCTCGGCAAAACTGATTGCAAAGCCCGCCATGTTTTTCGAGGCGCCTATTCGAGCGTAACGATCAGCCAATCAGCTGCGAGCAGCCACTGCTAGAGTCAGATTATACTTTGTACAAACGTTGCCGTATGTCGGGCCGGGAGAGAAATAGCACTGTAATTTGACGAGTATTAAGTTGAGTAAACACAAGTGCAATTACATAAATATAACAAACGATCGAGGTTCACGTATGTGCCTACCTACTTTCTTGACTAGCTAGGTTAGCCAGCCGAGTAGCCGATGGCCGCTACTTGTCGACTAAACTGGCAAACCCGTCACCCATATACATACATGTATTAAGCACAGGCCGAGTTCGTGCAAGCATATTCGTAGCAGTGCAAACAAACCTAGAGGTTTTATATTACCTTCCGAACAAGTTGCCAGGTACAGTATTGTAAATAGCCAAATCTATATTGTAGGTTATGTAGATATAGGTTAACCATTGACCAGAAGTCCCGGAATTTTTTTTCATGGCAAATGCCTTCCACGACAATTCTTAATCCGTGACCAATTACGAATATCCAATAATATCGAATTCTTCGTGTATTTATTACGGGCACTTAACACCCTAGGTACGTAGCTATGGCCCGTAATGCGGTGACGAATCGTTTCGATAACCGGGGGGTCGCGTTAACGAGCACGTCGCGTTTACCACTGCTTAAAGCAAACTGGCTATAACGTTGGGTAATTGCGTCAAGAAGAAGAAAAATAAGTAAAGTCTCTTCGCGATTCGTTGAGCCTGACAGAAAAAAAACAATATATCAACTTTCTCGTGTACTCCTTAATTTGTCAATTTTTCATACATTTCTTTCGCTCTCGTACCTGTCAATTTTATTATTCAAAAAATCCAACTGGTTTTTCGTGCACGATGTGCAAGCTCGCAGCTCGGTGTCTTTGTCATTTAACGAGTCAAATCTGGGTAGCGTGACTTCGGTCGAAACAGATGAAACTCGAAACTCTTTTTTTTTTCATCTTTACGATTCGTCAACAAGTAAAGTGGAAGCTTGGGACTGCCGCATTTGCCAAGCTCGTAAAAACTGTTATTGCTGGGATCTAGAGCTTTACTTAGCTTGCAGTCAATTTGCACTGTACATTGAGAATATCCACCTAATGGACGATCATTTTTTTATAGCTATCCACAAGCAGATTTCTAGGACTGATGCTTCAGCTTTTTTCCTCGAAGTCATACGAGCCACACCAATCTTATTGATTCTCTTGGAGCCTTAATTTTCGTATATATGTATATATACTTCCAGATAAATGCTAGGCAGCTTGCGCTTCCGTTTGCCAATTCCTCAAAAAGCTCATTCGTATAGCAGGCCTTCGCGATACGTTTATCGGCACTGTGCAATAATGATAGAAGACAGCCACACGATTCGTCGAATGTTTCCCTACTTACGAAGTGAGTAACTGAGTAGCTGGTAATTGTCTGGCATATATATTGTTACGGATAAGTAAATATGTATTTCTTATCACCGTCGGATAATTGAAGAGTCCAGTTGACGTTTGCACCAACCCGAGAAGTAATATGGTATTTTTCAAATATTCAAATTTCCCGCGATTCTTCTAGGTCGAACGATTAAAATCGCCAATGACAGGACTCACCTGAAAAATTCTTTCTGTCGAAGATGGCGGCGTGAGTGGGGAATGATGAATTTGCGTACTGGTGACAACAGGAGTACAAGCTGTGGTAGGGCTGAGTTCCGCATGCGGCCTGGTTTCCTTGGCTTCCCGTTCACAAACAGATCCGGGCGACCAGATTTCGCTTTTACGTCCAATGCTCGACGAGGAGGATGATACGTCGATGGGTTTGGTGCTGAGGTTCAACGGCGCGTCGTCCTCTGTAAATTGACAAGACCAATTGACAGGCTGGTCGTAAAACTGTCACACAAAGTGATTGGTGTGCTGTGTCAACCAGAGAGAGAGAGAGAGATCGACGTGACAAATAATAATTAATTGCAAAGGTCAGAAATTTTTAAACAATATACAGTCGCCCGCGACTGGAGACTTTAATAGGCTGATAATATTTTAACAGGCAACCGGATGCCAAAATGGGCGCATACGCAAGTGGACGATATCGCCGATGGGATTAGTAATTGGTTTAATTGCCAGGCATTATCGACAGCAATGAAGATACCCCGTAAATTGTCTAAATGATATAAGTATCAAAGTAAACCATGACTTTCTTTATGTTGTCAAACGTTAGGTAACACTTTTTTTTATCTCGACTTTGCGTGCTCAATTTACGTGAAAACGAGTTTCTAAGCTTACAGTAAGCCACGTATACGAAATGGCTAACTCCATTTTTCTACGTTAACCTTATCAATTTTATTTGCTTCCGACTAACCGCCGCCCCTGTCTCACCTGAACCAGACAAGAACACAAGTGTTCCAGAGGATGACTTACCAAACTTGACTTTTTCAGGTGTCGTCCTTTTGGGAGATGTCGTTCGAGTAGGACTTGGAGGCTCATCGCGTACTGGTGAACAACTGGCAACCGGTATCGTTTGCTGAGGTCCAATTCTTGGAGGTAGAATCGAATGGGGCAACAGAAGACCCACTGCGTGATGGGCCCACCAGGATATATTACTTCCTGGTGTCCCGTGTATACCCGGTACCACATCTCCAGATCCTCCGGAGCTACCACTACTTCCGACGCTGCTACCGCTACCGTATCCACCCCCACCGTACATAAGTCCGCAACGCATTTCTGAAGTGAGCAAAAACATAATTTCGCTCAGTATTTAATTACGTAAATTATTCGTTGGTATCCTGGGAGGATAATCTGGTACGTTTCCATCCTACCAGGAAGCTGGGCTATGATTGTGTTATTAACTCTTCTTAATTTCAGGTCGAGTATTATAATTTCTGACTACGTAAAATCAACTGGTACGGATCATTGCGAGAGATTAATATCCAGAGTACGAAGGTAAATTTATTAGGAGTATCAGGAAAATTCGTATAGTGCTACTCACCGCGTGCTATCACTCCCGTGGACACAGCCAAATTGCGAAGCCTCAACTCGGGGTTGTAATTAGAAACGAGGGTGAAAGCGCTAAAGCGATCCGGAATTGGCTGACCAGTTACGGAAGTGTTGGATGTGGCGCTGCTCGAACTACTTCCGGGACAACCTGGGCTCCAAGGCGAAGCCGGTAAGGCACTTGGACTGCTTGGCGGCGAGAGAGTTGCTGGGGGTGAAAGGGCCCCCGTAGATACTCCGACACCGCTGCAGCGGAGTTCCGGTTTCATGTGCCAACTTCTTGGTACCGTTTCTAAGCAGATTTTAATATGACGTGCCGTAACGTTAATAATAATTCATTGATTTTTGTCCAGGTCAAGGAATGAATCGGGAAAATAATGCACAACGCGAAAAATTTGACCTCGGTGACACCGGGACCGGAAACGAGTACAAGAGGAAACGAAGCTCGTCGAACTACTAAATAAAACGCATTCACTGCCAGCCATTACTGATTGCAACGAAATGCGGGTGGAAAATTGTAGCTTGTGTAATCTATATGCACAATGTAGTTCTGGACGCATACAAAAAATTATTAGTGTACTTTTTTTTTTTGGTTGGTACCATAGACAGAGATAATTTTTAATAATTAAATTTTACGTATAACTGTAAAATAGATATATTCAATTGCCTCTTAGTGGTACATTTGTATAAAAATCTAATATCTTTTACTTTACCATCTAAAATTTCATATTAGATTCCACAACAGTGACGTTATAGAGCACGGAATTAACAAAATTTCCAGAATCGTCTGGCTCTAAATTTTACTCACTGCGCAGAATTAAATCGTTAACATGATTTATCTATATGCTTGCTTAAGTTTACGACAACTAGATCGTGTATTGCCAACGCAACACGTGTAATAGGTTAGGGCACTAAGGAAGCCTCTTTGGCAGCGTCGATATGCAGCTCGAACAGTCGGGCCAGCTGTTATCAATATTTTTTATCATTCACCTACCTCACGACAGAGTTAATGCTATGTAAAATAATCATCGTTGTCTAGTAACCACGTAAATCGTGACGAGTGGGAAAGAATGAATATCCAAAAAAAAAAGTAATTACAAAAGATAAGAAGCACGTGTTAATTTATAATAAGCAATATATATGTACACATTCAATAATGTATTTATTTTTCGACGGTTTAATGAAATCTCGTTATTGAACAAATTAATTCTCGACATGGATAATATCTGACGTTTATTCCAATTTTTCGTTCAGGCCGTCTCGCCACTATGTGAACAAGTGTTAAAACAATTGAGCGACAACTCACCCGTATCCTCTTTTTCGTCTGACGACTAATTCAAACGAAAACGGCAAATAGAGACTAAACTCTTTCCCGATAAAAAAAAAGATAAATCTCGAACGAGGTTATTTCATTTTAATTTCCTTGTTTTACAATATGTATTAGCTATAAAGTGATTATCTGTAAATGTTTTTTTATTACTACAAATAATTAACCTACGTCCTCACAAACGTATGTTTTAACGCTCCATTTAATTCGTGGCAAACAATCTTGTGAAATCTGTTATTGAGCTGATTCGATTACGGAATAAAAAATTTGGTCTTTAGTAAATACATTGATAACGGAAAGGTACCAGCTGTGTTTAACGTGACTGCGAGTGTGAATTATTAAAAAAAAAAGTCTGCCCCAAGCGAAGGAGGTGCTAGAAGATTTCATATCGTTACCTTTTAACTGTATCTACTTACGATAAATGTATCGAATTTATCCAAGACTATCGATTTATATTAACGAATAAGCATTCAAACAAAACTCACCACACATCACGTTCCAGATTTGCCAATGAACGATACAAAATACTTATATCTCTTTCGTATCGTTCATCTGGCGTAGGGATCCTGTACAGTTCAAACTGTATCTTCTTCAGATTCACTTATCAATTACGAACTCCCGACACAAAATCCCACAGACATACGTCCTAGTGGTAACAATGTTCACTAGTAAAAAATCCATGCAAGAATGTATTTAAAAAAAAGTCCAAGTCAGTTTTCGAGTTTCTCGATTGGTAACAAAGGGAGAACAATTATTCTCGTAATATTTAATTCTCATTAACGCTTCACAATCAATTGATTTAACACTGCCGCCCTTTTATCTTTTTCTTGGATCGTTGATAAGGGGGTGTATTAAAAAAAATTACTCGTAAAGCAAAGGATATCTTCAATGGTTGGTAGTACAAGTATCTAAAGTCTTCGTCAACGTGTGTTCAGGATGTTCAAAGTGTCCGAGACTGAGAGGCGTGAGCGTCCCGACGTAGCGCAGGACCTTGACTGACCGCCGATCGAGCGTCGCGTGGAGCGACTCACCAGGTTCTCTTACCTGTCGCTCTCTTAGTCGCTCAATCGGGTCGGTTCGGTTGGTTCGTTCGTTCCTCTTCGGCCTAGTGCGCCACGCCCATTCGCGACCTACGAACCGTGTTAAACAGTGGTGGGGAATAATTTCCCCCACTATGAATCACACGTAAGATATTTTATTGTTCTCTCTCTCTCCCTCTCACTCTTACTCTTCATGTAACATTAATATGTAGTTGAATTCCGTCGGTCTCTTTTGAAATCGGCCAATCGGGGTAGAGAGTTCGAAGTCTTTTTTAATGAAACTCTAATCTCCGCGAATCGCAATCGTAATAGCTGTGGGTGTGTTTAAGATAATTTATAACAATACTATTGGTTACGATATATACTAATATTTGCGATTCAAAGTTACATTGCTTGACTGATTAATCGTACTACTAGGGCTTCATTGATTTTACAAATTTTTAACTACGCACACGACTTTAATCGTAATGAATTTTTTAACGCAGTTTTTTCTACCAAATCTTACAAAAATCTACCCACAAAATGTTTGTATACTTTGCTGATTCTTCTTTGGATTACTTAAATTTTTCAGAATCTCTTAACAGTCATGAATCTAAGATTGTCTTTCTGTTATATAATAGTAACGTATCATAGTTTTTTTTAATTAACTTAGCTGTATCTTATTAACAGTAAAGGCAATAAAACTTTATCAATAATATTCCTGATATTTGTTTCATAACAGGAATACATATGGAGCTTACACGTGAATTACAAAGTACGATGCATAAATGATCAAGTCGTATCTAAGTTCAAATGGGCGGAGGCGTCGCGTCGCAGAACGTAGTGCGTCGGCGCCCGGGAAGCATCTCTATTGGTTGGATTCCCAGCACGTATCCACCCGTCGACTCTGACAGCAAACGGAGTGAATCCCCACTTTCTCTCCTAGGCGATGCTAGAAGTGGACAAACTCAACTCCAATAAAATTGACTGTTGCATACATATTTTATTAGTTACTTACTTGCAACATTGTCCATCGATACCAAGTATATAGGTAATAATATCTCAAGACCTTATGGAAACGTGTAATCTGAAAAAAATGATGCACCATTGCCTTCTTGGAATTCTAACCTCTAATATGCAATATAACAATAAAATTCATCACCTATTATCAAGCCTTGCAAAATAAGACCATCCGATATAACCAGAGCTGACATAGTGTAGCAGCTGCTTCGTTGGTCTAATATCCATGAAAAAAGCTTATGACAATAAACGCACGTCAATCGGCAATTATCGCATCTGCAATTAATCTAGTATGACATTCGTTATTCACTATTCCATTTGCGAATAACATCCGTTAGATATTGTCCGTTTGTTTAAACAATGCCATCGCTTATCTCTCTGCATAAAACCATCATGGAAAATTAGGTGACACCTGCAAACACAATAAAATGATATTTCCGTTTCATTAATGATTCGAGGTTGTACCAAGGTATACAAATATTATTGCTATAGATCTTTAACACTTACCAATAGAGCGCAACTTTTAAATGTCAGACTGGAAACATAACCTACAATTGTTGTAACGATTTCTCTCGTAACAAGCACTAGTACCTTTGTGTATCTACATATACTGAATTATTCAGCCCAAACGTACAACCTGAAGTCACCAGCACATCCATTCGATTCTTCTTTCTTCTTATAGCAAAAAACTGATTAACAATTTTGGAAATCATGACAATTCCACTTTCACTGGTACAAGGGTGGCGTTAATAAAATATTGAAAGATACACTGATAAAGGAAAGAAACTATACCGTCAGGAATTGGATGAGAAGGCGACGTAAAAGCAGCATCTGTAGTAAAATGAAAGGTGTTTTCGAACAACCCCTTTTGTCTGGTCCATGGTACTACTTATGGCGTTAAGCTATGAATGAAGATCACAAGGTTTTGCAACGGCTCAATGGAGAGGATGTAGGAAATCTTTGACTCTCTCGTGAAACCTCGACCCAGTCGCACCTTCGCACGCAACTCTTTTACGACGGGCCACTTTCATTTACCAACCATACTCTTTCGTAATTTCGCAATATACACAGAAGGGAAGTTTTGCCATCTTTGAATGACTATGCCGTACTACGTCACTTCCTGCTACAATTTTTACCTTGACTATATTTTTCGCCTTATGGTTACTTTATTCATTTACAATTTTCTACGATATTTTAGTACTATGTTAATGACTGATAATATTGAATATATCATTTCTCTCTAATATTAATCATCACGTATGAGCATATGGAAGGACTATCAACGTGTATCCTTGTTACGTAAATATATCAGTCTATATTATATAATATTTCAATATATATGTCACCATGGACAACTTTGGAGAAACGCACAGGCACTACAAAAGCCATGCACGCAATGCGTGACTTTTTCATTTTCATGGACTTTAGTGTCGAATCTCTTTTCATAGACGATCAAATGAATTATGAGAATCGGTATATATAATAACGAAATCCTTTGGTGGTTAATTTCAGTTGATTGAAACTTAGTGTGTACGAAGCCTAATGAACATTAATAAAGTACCACTCGTTGTAGTGACAATCATCCTGATATATTAGCAGTGAAACGGCACACGCTACCAAAAGAGAAATACTTGGGTAAAGGAGGAATCCGTTACATGCAGTAAATCCTCATTTAAATTTGTAATTTTTAATTCCTGACAAGAGAATGGCCGCCAGCAGGACGCAAAGCAGCTGCGCCAATCGGAAGAAGCTTCGCCACGAGGACCATGCATTTTTGATTATGCAGGTACTGTTTACACGCGCGTTATATTTGCAAATAATATATACATATATATATATATATAAATATACACAAGTATATTTATATCAGCCATTTTAAGTCACGCAAGTTTATTCAAATTCATATACAAAATTAGCACACTTTGTCTTCATTTATCTCATATTTAAGTATCTTTCAATTCCTTGACACATCGTTTACGTAGGATATTCGAATCTCAAGGAATGTATAATAATATATTCCATTATATGATTAAAGAAACTAAGCAAGATAACGTGGACTACGCCAATGAGAAGAGGCACGCGCCGGCACGTGCGCGTCACGCTTGCTCTCCCTAACATAAGAGTGCAGTGCGCGTGCGCCAGATCCTCCCCACTCTATATCAATGCCGCCGACGTCGACCAACAGTTCCGCCGGCAGTCCTTTCGAATAATCCCGGACTAACAATAAGTGTGGAATAGCTACTTGAAGCCCAAGTTGTAGCCTGACTTTTAACGACTTTTCAAGCCCGGTGCCCAATTTAATATATGAGCCACAATCCCCTGGCATAATCACACGATGACATGGCGTTCTCCTATTATCTATGCTTTAATTACTGATTTTACATGGTCCCTCTTTTTATTAGGATCCCATTTATGCGTAACCGGCACCTTACCGTACTTTCAGTATTAGATATAATAGTTCGATATATTCACTGTGTGAGACGAGAAATGTATCTAGACAGAAATGTGTTTTCACTCATTAAGCTGGTTTTTATTGAGATTAATATCCTGTTGCTTTTACGTATGCTAACTGTATATTGGATCAGGACAACTATCTCAGAAGCCGGTTTCGTTTTCTTGGTACTCATTGATCTTCCAGGTATTCTTGTCGTCGGCGAAACTCCACGTGGGACCTTATCAGACGCCACCTGCACTTCTTTATTTTATTAAAAATGCCGGAATTCATGACACCCATACAGTGCACAATGACGCAGAAATATCCAGTTAATTATTACCATAAATAATGTTACTTTCTTAATTAGCATTAAAGCTACGCCATAGAGTCGCGGTAACGGATGGCTTTCGGCGATGCGTCTATGACAATTATAGTCAAGATAAGAACCCGCTTGAGAAAATTTTCGCGCAACTTGGGCAGACAGATCTTGTAATCCGATCAGAATGAATACATATATTTATATATAAATTATATACACGTATACCATACTACCTAGTCAAACTGCCGTATACCAACGTGTCTATAGTGCAACAGCTGTTACTTAATGCCATACGGGCATAGCAGACACGCTGTCTCAGGGAGAAAAGTTCCGATTGCAACTGTAAAAATGTTTCATCCCAGTTTAAAAAAAGCGGTTGCACCGATTCTTCCATAGCATATACTTCTTCTTGATACAGGCTTGTAGCGAAATGCATCAGTGGTTCGATCAAGGCTTAGAATGTTGATATCTGAAAACCAGGAGAACGTGACAAAACTTAAAAACTGGCGCTCGTTCGATCAGCAAATACGAAGAAAACACCTGGCAGTAAATACAGCAAGGAGTCCGCTACAGTGAGGTAGTCCAACGTAGGGTGTTAGGGGTTGAGGTTAGGTTACGAGCGTAAAGGGGAAGGTGGCCGACTATCCCCTGCAGGGTGATTAAACGAAGCACCACGATTCAGGAGGGCAGCCAAGCGTGAAACTGTTGCGTCCCGATGGCACGTAACCCCAATTCTGAAGTCTCAGGACGAAGAATAAAGCCTGGAGGGTCAACTGCGCGTCAACCGCACTTCCTTTTCCTATGGAGAACGTAATTCATCCTTTATCACTCACGAGTGATATATCCTGATTTCCTTACTGGGACCATACGAAGGAGGTAATTTTTGTTTTGACCTAGAAGAATCATTTTTCAATTACTAAAACGTACCACTCTATAATTTTAACATACTAATTAAAATTAATTACCCACTGACTAGCTTGTAAATTAAAATAATTGGGATTCCCAGAAAATCCACTTTTTATTTACATTCACCTTTCTTGTTTCTCTTACTTGCTAAATTATCTCCATTTACACAGCCAATTTATATAATAATACATACATACCTGTATATACACCAGCGAACGGCAGTTCTTCTGACGCGCATTAATTCACGGCAGACAAAAACGAAGGCAGCCTCCCGGGTACGCGGTAGCGTAATTGTGGCCTTTAATAAAGAAATGACACGAGATACTCGGGCCACACAATGTGCGTGCTTTGACTGTGAGAGGTCCTGTAGAATAGGACAAAGAGTAAAAAAAGCTACCTCGTTTTCTATACGGAGATCCGCATTAAGTAACGGTGATACATTTCAATTAGCCACAGAATCATCCCATCGTCTTTCGTTTTTCCTTCGCCGTGAACGGTGCTTCAAAAAAGTTCTACCAGTCATCTCGTGAAGGATGAAGCTAAAAAATAAATCGTCTATTCACCTTGTATGTTACCCATGGTATACGTATACATATGCTCACTCATGATCATCCAAATGGAACGCAACGGAGTCTCGTGCCCGGAAATTTCGATGGCACACGAGGGGCACGCGCCGTTACGCTACCAGGTAGTTTCACTGCTGTCTATATATATACTGCACGTCTACATACATATATACTCTATAGTCTATGCCTCAGGTAAGCTCGTGTATGTATCAGTGAAGAGGACAGCAGTGGTTGCCCTGGCTGGGTGTCATCTGGCATGCAGAGCGTGAACCTGGCGAAGAGACGCGTGTGTTTCTGGACGGCTATAACGGTCTCTTCGTGTAGGCGCAATCTCGCGCGTGCACCAGGACCTGATTAATCTGTGTGAGAGAGAGAGAGAAGGCGTCTGCAGTCAGTAGGAGCCGTCAGATAAAGATCGAGAGAGAAATACTTACGAGGAGGAACGACGAGCACGAGGATGAGGTGTAAAAGAGGATGGACCTGAGTAATCGGTTTGGTAGCCGTATATGTTCTCCAGGTCGTTCGCAATGTCCTAGTTGAAAGGCGGGACGGACTTGATCGAAACCAGGTTGATCTTGTGATCATATTGTTACGTATAGCGGTCGGCTGATGTTACCTGTTAAAATTCATGTCGGAAGGATGCCTTGAAAAGGACTTTTTAAAGACACGAAGAAAATACTGTGAACAGTCAAAATTGATAGGACAGAATTTTTAAATTTCACGTCAATAAATTCTTTAATGACTTTTGATTTTGAACGATCCGTCATGTCAATTTCCGTGAAGGAATAAAAATTCCAATAATCTTAATTAGAATTTTAATTATATATCACCTTATTGAAAATCACTATCAGCAACCGATTGCAAAGTTATTATGCACAGTAGGACCGACGCGTGCCGTCGATTGGTGGGAGATAAAGGTAGTATAGATGGGCGCAGGAGGGGAGTCGTCTGTAAAATCCCCTGAAGCACCTACGATCGTCTAATAAATGGGTCGTGGCGGTGCGATTAAAAGCTTCCACAAAAGGAGTCCGTTCGGATGCCCCACGTATTTAGCAACGGGACAAAATTCGAGGGGTAATTACGTGGTGGCCATTGGAACGTGAAATGGAGCACGAGTCGGTCCTCCGAGGATCTTCGACGGTTGTAAGATGCTGGAGAAGAAGAAGAGAAGAAACTTGTCCCGGTAGACTGCGAGGTGCGCTCCTCATGTAATTCACATATGTGTAACCGAGAAGGATGACCGAATGATGAAAGACATTTTGATGAAATTGCGATAACGTAGATTCCACTTGAGGACTTGGTATTTATAGGTATAAATTATTTTATAGCCATATAAGTGCACACGTGAACGCCAATATGTCACTGTAGAAAGAAAGAGAGTGTATTTTGTTTCATAAAATATAATAATATTCCATATTTACATACTGTCATTTTCCTTGATTAAATTTACAATGGTTTTTCCATTCCATTTGACCAATTAGAACTGGTGTCCTCCACCTGTACAAAATTATGATTATTAATTAGATCAACGTACTGGCAATGTTAATGGTTTTACCTGAGTCAAGCTGTGGTAGCAATTAATGTATTTCTAATTATAACAAGTCCAGCGATTTTCTTCAGGGTAAATGACTTTCTGCAGGTACATCAAGAATGAGGAGCTTGATTTTTACTGACAATCAGTATAGTCTTGTATTGAGGTAGCAGATATACTAATGAGACGCTTCTGCTCACCGGTCCTGCGCTAATGAGAGGTCTTCCTTTTCCTACGAGGTTGCATCCTGATTATCATCTACGTCGGTAGCCGACCTGCCTGCAGCCGATCAGCTTTTACTCTCATATCGCTATCGAGCTGATTCCTCTTATTCTCAGGAGTCTTCCGACTGATGCAGGTGTTCATTCTCCTCTGGTATGTTGGTCTAAGAGGTTCGTAATTAGATAACCAATTACATAACTCGTCCCATTCTCAAAACTAATTTACTCACTTTCTTTGCTTAGTCCTCCAAACTATATAGTCTCCTTTCATTCATCCTTATAGTAAACCTAACCCAACCCAATGTACTGGCCAAGAAGAAAGTTGATACTGTCAACTGGTACCTCCACGGTATAAAATTGCATCAGGACACGAGGTTTCTATTGCACCTCAAGGGGTTAGCTTGTTTCAATGAAAAAGAAAAGGGAAGAATGAAAGACAGACCCTTCCTTTCATTTACTCCCAAGCGACCTTCGACAAGGAATGAATGAATGAAATGGTGAAGGGTTTCCTTCAAGACTCATCAACGGACTTGAATTCTGCATTGGAAAGGGCCAAGCAGACTTTGATCCATACAGGAAGAAGCACCTGAGAAGATGATCCCGTTCATTTTCTCCATCCGGTAGATCTGTTTACTCAGAACAATATGCAGTACACCTTACCCTGTAAATAGAATTCGATGATCAGTTCAGTTCGTACAGTGATAAGGTATACAGTATAACACAGTAATAAACAAGAACTTTTATATCCACAAAATAATTCTAATATACCTATCGAATGTAGCTGGCTTATAAAAATTTGTCTGATTCGCTATAAATGATATAAAATATACAAAAAAAAAAGAATAAAAAGCAAATTCAATGGAGATTATGAATATTCGTCACGCATTCTCTGAAAGCCGCTATAGTAAGAACGAGGACGACGTGTTGAGAATAAGATTAAGATCATCGAAGGGAGTTTAGGAGTATCTCCAGTCGAGGCTTAACAGCAAGCCAGACTGGAAACCTGTAATTGAATGCCGGGACGAGGTGTATTATTTTGCCGATTTAACCCTAAGGCAAGAAGCAGCAGCAGCAGAAGCAGCAGCGGCTAATTTAAACTAAAGGCCGATATAAACGCTATGCCCGCTGATAAGTTCCTTGATTTAAGCGATCTGGTCGCGGCGATGGCCTGTACTTTTGTGTCGTTAAGAGTGCGAGAGCACGCACGATAATTAATCCAAATTGCGCTTTACGTTTTTACTATAAAATAACGATAAGAGTGACAATACGATTATTCAGCAGTACAATTTAAAAAAAAAAAGCAATCTCAAGTAACCAGTATAAAAATAATTAACATTGCTCTTCTTACGCACCTCAACCTAATATCGCAAGACCCAAACGACCTCAAGCTCTGGTCCATACTGAGAAATTTGTTATCCATCTATTTCCTGCAGCGTGAAGCCCATTAAGAACACGGCACCTATTTATACGAGTTTCGAATCACACGGTAACGGCAAAGTAGCAAGAGAGGCACCTGTGGGGCGGCAGGTGATCACTTGTCTTTGGTCTTTACTGTGTAGGCCATGCCTAACCAATCAGAACCTATCCACACGCAATACGTACAAGTCCACATACGTAACCGCTAACAAATAAAAACGCATCCAAGAAGTACACTCTCCATACCCATTAGAAGAGCTATATAAAACCAATGAAATAAATAATCCCTGCCATATATATAAAATCTAACAAATTGTTATCTTCAAATTCCTCCTCTCGTTCTCATTAAGCATCACCAGCTATGTAATTCTCCGACGAGATACATCCTCAGGGACAAACTCGTAGCTTTCATGCTATTAAACGTAACACGCTAGCCCCGTTAATCGTCGAGGTTCCAAGAGCAATTACCGCTTCCTCGTTCATTAGCCACGAAGTGTTGTTCATTTGCTGGCAATGCATTTGCCACCAAGTGGTAGACAGGTAGACGCAGTGCCTTGTTGAAGCCGCCACTCGACAGCTAATTTAATCCGTACAAAATTGCTCCTGGCAATTTACAAGAAGCGGACGAAGGGATTGGTCATAAAAAAAAATCAGCTGGATACAGAGTTAATCTCGTCAATTTTACCTGAAACGAAGTTATATATACGTTATACTATCATATTTGGGTGACATTGAGATATATGAGCGCAGAGAATGTGGCGCGCGTGCCACATTCTGTGTCTTTATATCTGAACGTATGCAGTCGCCATACGTGTATTACGTGCTTGGCCGAGTGTCTTATTCGCCGTGCGGTCAGCGTATAGCGGAAGGACAGCCGAGTAACTGACTACTCATCCTACAGGAGGTTATTACCAACCTGACGGTGTGCTACGCCTAGAGCGTGTAATTAATATATGTAACTCAATCGAGGTAACGACGTACCAAAGGTTATATGGCTGCTAGGCAATATTATACTCCAGGCAGAAGTATAAGAGGTCTGGCACGCGCTCGTATACACTTGAATCCAGATACTCCTTGTCTATTAGTATAAGGTTGTTTGCTGCATGATTAATTCGGGCAGGTCCTTGATATTGTACTCGTTGTTTTAACTGCTTGGACGTCATGATTGGATCGAGTCAATGATTTGCTTCCTTCTCTTCTTAATCTGAAATCAGTTTTGTATAATGAGACACGTGGATCCTGCTGAAATGTGCTCCTTTCTTTTTTTTTGGCAATCAGCGATTTCTTTTCGCAATTACCAACGGTGTCGATTGGCTCTTTATCTGATTTGTAATAAGTTACATGTGAGTATGTTACAAGAGAGTCTTTCCTCGGTATAAAAATTTGATATTTCAATGGATTTCAGGTGCCTGAACTTTTTTTTAAATACTTTTACGGAAATTGAATAAAAATCGAAATGAATAAAAAATTGGTGTTGTTATCAAGTAGTAAGTGGTGTATGGTATTTTATGGAATGATTGGACCTTTTAATGCAAAATAAAATTGACGAATTGATATTTGAGTGTACGAGTAATGGGCTTATAAAAATCTTATTTTTCACTATTAGTTATGAATTCATTTTTTAATCTAGAAAGGCAATCGAAAATTTATGTCGCTATTACTTTTATACTGAATTCGCGTAAAATCATTCGGAGGATCCATCTACCACATGGTATGCACGCTGCTGCGCTTATGTGCAGCAATTGCATATGCACATGACTGCATCATTCAGCCACTTATCTACAGCTGCGCGAACTTTTACATATCGTTTTCTGATTAATGAGACTTGTAAAGAGACTTACTAATCAGCGACAATTATACGTGCATTAATCCACGATAATCCCTGTAATTGATAAAGTCGATTCTATAAGTACGAAATCTTCTAAAAAAAAAGGAATACTTGACAACGATAAGGAATTCTGACACCATTGATATGTATAAGAAATAAAGCTGTTGCTACGTGAAACGGAAGTCGGCCAAAGTCTGGACTATTACCACACCATACCCCATCCCTCAGGATTTCGTCCTAATAAAATGTAAATACATGCATCCTGTTCCAATTAAACCGCAGCCCTAATCTCCGATCATTTCCTGTTGGACGGATCCTTGAAAGACACGCACGGCTACGTTTCGCCTGGACTCTAATCCGATTCGAATGCTTAAATTAATTCCGACTTTTCGGATCTTCAGGATGGACCCAGAGGATCTTCTGCTGGACAGAAGGAAACTAAAAAAAAAAAAACCACTTAGTAACCGTATTATCCTTGAACCAAGAAACAATGATACGAACCTTGCTTAAGCTGAGAAATAACAGCTGTTCCAAGTTATCCGCTCATAACTAATTCTCCAATAAATAAATAAATATCGTCAAGTTATAAATCCAATGCTGATATAGAATCTGACACAAATATATGGGTGAGAGTTACTAAAAGTACGTAAAGGAAGTGAAGCGATTCCCACATGTCCTGGAGTATATGCTTTTATCGCGTGGCCATCCCATCACCGCTGAATTATTACGGCGGTGCGATAACTCGCAAGATGTAAGGCAAGCTCGCAAGCTGTCTTCATACTAGCATATAAGTACACAGGCATATGTAGAATAATCCCACATGTGTACAATGTGCGTGAAAAATGTTTGCGTGCGATTCGACCCAAACTACCTTCAACATTCACCTCCTGGAATTGTGAAATATCCAAGAACTTTTATCCGAATCATACATATGTTCACTTGTATTACACATATATCTGTGCATATCCTGAAGCAAAACGAAATGCATTTGAAAGAGAGAATTTCATGTGCGGTGTCTTCTCACAGTGGATACTGATATAAAGCTGCAGGTGACACGCGATGGTCCGCCAACCAATGGAGAGGAACGTGCAATTACTCCTGGTGCATCATCTTCTGGAAAGTGAAAATCGGAGTGGTTAAACCTATCATCATCCGTCGATCACCTGTGGGTGGAAGAAGCAAAGCATTACTGACAATTACCACGTTAATTTCCTTCATTACAGATACCGACTGACCTACATCTTGAGGGCTTCCGTTTTCATTTCTTTCTTTTTCAATTACCTTACAGATAGGTTAGGTTAGGTTACACAGATCTGTTGCCTTCGATACATAGGTTATTGATTCGATGAACTATATCAGAGAACATATATTACATATTACATATGTATATTACTATACATGTTCTCTGACAATATTGTGAATGAAATCTGCAAGAAAAGCCATTTCTGAATTAATTTGCCTGAAAGCGGAAGAAATTCAAATGTCACAGGATCGCGTTGCACGGAGGGAATTTTTACGCATTTGAAAGTCCAATGCCGGAAGCGATACGATCCATACTACTGAAGGCAAGAGCCTTTAATTTAATCCACGTATAATATTTATCTGGGCGTAATTTTGCATACGGACACTCATTAATTGCACTGGAACTGAACGTCACTTGGGTAACAAACATTTAATACTGTGGCGACCTGTATAATATGGGCGCGTGCTTGCTGTACGACTAAAAGATGGAATTCAAATAGTCCCGAGGCTGCAATTTGATGGAAATCGTGTTTTGCAAGGATATAATGAAGCAGATATAATAAATATTAATCAATATTCGGTATAATGCTAATTATATACTACATGCTTATTAACCCGGAATATTCTATACATTATAAGTATATACAATTTTATTGAATAGTAGAGGGAAAGAAAGTGGTCTATATAATATTTTTCTCAGTCTCAAAACCCATTTTCAAAAATGACCAATAATATCAAATGGATCAAGATCATTATTCTCACAATATATATTGTACATTGAATCGTGCAATTGTATATTTATTAATAATGATTCCTTGCGGAATATTATTAAGTAATTTCTGAATCTACTACGAGTGTCTAATTATTATAAAGATAAATTAATGACATGTGTTACGCCAAAGCCACTTCCTCCTATAAACTTCCTGCTGAGACGTTTCTTTACCTAAGCCGATAATCCTAGACGATAATTGATTTCCCAAAGAGATATTGATGCTTTGAAAAATTTCACAGCCCTTCATAATTGGATATAGATATACTTCAGGTGGTCTATACCTACAGGCAGTTCCTCGTGGACTTTCCCACGTGTTAAAATTAGCATCCCACCAAATAGGATCACCACATCCTTTCGGAATGGTCGTATGAATATGATCGTAAGCGGAAACGAAGGAAAGCACCGATTCTCGAGAAAGTATCCCAGCCTGACAGGTACCAGAACATCGTCCACATAGATACGGTGTAATTTGATGGAAGGACACATCCTGAATGGTGGCATGCTACCTCTTAACTGCACCGGTCAAGACTTTAATGCATCAGGCATATAAGAAGACGGCAATGCACGATCTTGCGTATCTGAATATCCACGTGTCCGCATGTCCACACAGAGAGTGTCAGCTCTGCCGATAAAGATCTATTTAATTAAAGTAATAACTCGTTGTATGATCGATCGTTGATGTTTGACTGAAAAAAAAAGAAGAAAATAAAAAGAAAGGCTCTACAGACAAATAACCTGTGATTAGCAGGTAGGAAATTTTCATAATATATTACAAGAGGGGAAGCCCCTATTTCAGTGTCAATGAATCACTTTGCTCCAATCAAAGAGATTGGAATGGTGTAATCATTATTGAAATGTGATATCCGAACGAGTCCACGGATTAACTTGCTTTAAATTTCTCTTAAACTGGTTACCAAGTGTTTCAGCCTCCTTGAGATGCATCTCACGAGTGTATTTAATGTATTGAAGTATGCTGGGTTTCTTCTTTGATGGATGATAAAGCCAGCCTTTGCATTGCATACGTTGACACTGCATCCTTGAGGTCCAGGAGTGGAGTTGTCAATGCAAAAAAAAAAAAGAAAAAATCCAAAACCTTACAAAGACTAAGTTATCTAATTGTCAGGAAAAATTCAGGCTCATGGAAGTGGAACGCAATGCCGAGTCAACATGCGAATGAAGCTACGTAGCCAGGATGCCTGTAAGATAAAGCGGGCACGAGCTCCATCCACGCAGCTGTTCCTGGCTCCTTCTTATTAATTGACAGAACAAGTTAATACTCCTTCCGTACGAGAAGCGAGGTACCGCTTCATTGTGGGAAATTATTTAGCGAATTGATGTGACAGAACTAATTAAAAATGAAAAACGATTATGCCAGTTCAGCATCCTGACCAAGATCCAGCGGCATAAATCCTCAAGATCTCACGAGGAAGTCCAGTATATGCATACCCAGTTAATTCCTTGAAGCAATAAAAGGTGCAACTGCAATGAAATACAGTACGAGCTTTTAATCTGCATTATTTTCAATTTCAATTTTTTGTAAACAGTATACATACCACTGAAGTCATTACAACGTTGAAGTGAGTCCATGTCATAATTTTTTCTCTCTCAAACCTCCCATCATCCAACTCACTTGATACCCATGCCCACTGCATTAATTAATCCACTGCTCTTCTTCACTTTTTATTAAATGTGATAAAATCGTTGGCATGCCTCCTGAAAACATATCATATCTATGTAAAATATCATTCGACTGATTCGCCACGCAGGTAATTGTCCACTGATGATAATGAGTGCATCAAGATCACACGTACCTACCTATGTATGTACGTACACTTGGTGCGCAAGGGTTTATCTTTTCAGTGCGAGCCATTAATACTCGTTGTTTTAAAAAAAAACTGTTGCACCTTGGCCGAGTCTGTTATCTTGAAGAGACTACGGCACTCGGGCAAAACGCAGCGGCAAAATAGCATTACATTCGCAATTAGCGTAATAGCTTTTAAGCGCCGGTACATACTGCACGCTCGCGTTCCTTGTAGTGTTGCTGAGCGACGGAAGTTATCTGTGTATGAGAATCGGAAGCGGGACGGAAGGTTGAAACGTGAGGAATGAGTAGGGTCGGTGGGTGGGTATGAGAGGGGTCAAACGAAGAAAACTGGTTTGACGGGCCGACGTCGGCAAAAGCTCAAGTAAACGGCAATAGAGAATCTGCTATCTTGTTGCACGTAGACTATTAGGGGAAGCTATATGCTGCTGTAATTTTAACGTTACGCTGGTCATATGTAAATGGGAAAATAGACTTTTAGTGTATATACATATTCGGGAATATTATTTTTAATTTATTCGATTACTGTATAAGAATGAGAATGAATCTTTGATCATATGAAATTAGTTGATCTAAAAATGTGTACGTGATATTAAATTTTTTTTAGGATTCAAGATGGTTAATTAATAAAAATTAATTATGTAATTGATACTTGTATTTGTTTTTTACTCACTTTTTTTTTTAAATATAGGCCATTTGGACTAATTCTGATAAAGAGTACTCAAGACGAATTGCTCTGTGCTGTAAATAATAATGGCATCCATTAGAGGCTGAAGGATTTTATGAGCGATTATTAATAATTGCGATACAAGGCCACCAGAGCACTTAGGGAGGGTGGGTTCTTTGTTGCGTAATTGCTCAAAATCTAACTATTTATCGATAATAGTTTTAAATTGTATCTAACTTGAGGCATAGTAACTTTGTTTACAGCTTGTGCCGTTAATGCATGCGGAAATTCTGTATTTAGGGAGTATCGACTGCGAAAAATGAATTGGTTATACAAGTTAATAATATGGGAATTTGTCGATTTTTTCGTTAATGGTTTCTCTTACATTGTCATACCTGAAATGTCCATGGCTACTTGGCACCCTTATCCTTTGCCATCTTGATGCGTGTACATTAAATTCATCATACAGAGACAGAGTTCATTTAAACTGCAATTTAATTTCATGTAATAAAACAAAGGGTTAATTAACTTGATGAAATCTTTATGGTAAGCCTATAACAAAAAGGGAAAGAGTTTAGTGTGGAATCAATGGCTGTTTTCAAAAGAAACAGTCCTAAGGGAACAAATTAATTTGATTGGTCAAATTTTACAACCGTTATAAGATTTACGATCGAATGAACAATCAAATGCTCTTTCTCTTTTAGAGCCAATTTCACCAAAGTTAACTGAGGTTTAACTGGCGAGATTAGCCAATCCGAAGTCTGTATTTCCGGAAACAGTTCTGATTAGCTAATCTCGACGGTTATAGTTTTCAGATACATTGTTTATGTTAAACATAACCTGTGACTTACCTGTGAAGAAAAACATGTACCTATACATACATATGTATAGGAAGGAATAATGGTAGATAGAAAAATTGTGTCTCTGCTGTCATAAACATAAACAATACTCAATAAAATGTAATAAGAAAATATGTCAAGTATCGAAAAACGACATCGGCTCATCCAACCAAAGACATTTATATCACTGGACTGCTGGCAGGAAAGAGAAAAATAATGAAAGGGCGAATACGCGAGAGAACCGTACATGGTATCCAGCTGCAAAGCCACGATCCAATAACACTGAAATACTTGAGGCGATCAAAGTGCGCAAAGGCGCGATCATCGCGATCAAATATTTCGGATTGGTGAACGGCGACGGTGGCGACGACGCGACTCTTTTGGTAATATTCTGTCGTCCACTGGTAAACCAGAACCTGGTGATCACTTTCATACGCGTACAGACTTACCGGTAGTACGATTTAAGCACTGCACGACGTGCATTTCTGCGACGCAACGTTAATTACGAAAGATGCGGACAGACGACAGGTGCAAAGAATGAGAGAAATATCTAATTCCGGAAAATTCTCAGTGATTAAAGTTCGATGTCAATTTAATAATCATTTATAAATGGACAGAATAACTGGCATTTAATCAACCTAACCTAACCTGTACTTCTGGGTGACAGTCTGTCACATGGTGAACCTAACCTAACCTAATGAAAAATATTTGACAGTAACGTACGTCACTTTCTGTAATCGCGGCTTGGTTATAGGTTATCCCATATCTGTATAACAGCTAACGGAACTGTCAGGGCTTGAAATATTGTAACGAGTCGACCAACGCAATTATTTCACTGACACTCTCTTTCATTTTCACTCACTATTCTCATCTTCATCTTCATTTTACTCTTTCAGCACTGTATGTACACGTACATTCGCATTGAAACTGAAACCGAGGCATTGTATATATTGTGTCAAGATTTTCTTTCCCTTAACAATAAATAATACTGAGTATTCTTAAACGTAAAAACAGATCTTGCCGCACTTTACGATCGACTAATTCCGCCATAACGAACGCGTCGATAGCCTGAAGTCAAACTGGATTCAGAGAGAATCCAGTAATTGCGCGGGAGATACGTCTGGGTAATTGGCGCGGACGTGTAAACACGTTAACGATCGTAATGTAAGCTTACGAACCTCGAGGTTTTCAGTAAACTAACGGTTGTGGTCAATTCTGAGTGACCCAGTGACGAAAACTCGTCCAATAAGAATGTGACTGACACGGTTAATATCCTTAGGACTCAGTGTGGACTTATATGGAATAAAAATCCTTTTAGAGATAAATTTATTTAGCAATAAAAGACTAAATGATTTAAAATGTTAATATTAATATTTATTAATATTAATATTTTTTTATTGAATCTTGCAATATAATATTTGGCGTTTTACAAATGGCGGCTGTCACTCAGCATATATATCTCTGGCGACATGAGGAAGTACTCTGTGCTTTGGTAATTTATATATATTGCAGATACTGTGCCTTTAAAGCTGCTACGAATATAATTGGGGCAGTAAAGATCTTTTTTCAGCGATTACCAACCTCGATCGATACACGGGGAAGAAAGTGCTTGAGCAATTGTGAAGATCCGTTAATGGAAAAATGAAGTATTGGTTTTCATTGCTTCTGACAGTGGTGCTCAGTGCAGGTAATATTATTTTGAATAATGAAGAGAGTATCGATTGATAATAGTTTTACATATACCTATAACTATAGATATACTTTTATAATTGAAACGTTATTAAGCCACCCTACAAAGCTCTCATTTATCTAATGTTCAGACAGCAAGCTTTACTGTAAACTGTAAGTTTAGGAATACGTAATCTATTATCTCTAACAGTTAACTATTCTATCGGCATAATAGCTTTTTAAAAACGATTTTACATGCTCCTCAGTAATCAATTTAATTATAATATACGTGACAGGATACTTGTGAAAAGTAACTTCATAAAGATCGTGACAAAAATTCACATCAGTCGAATCCTTTTTTATTAATTAATAAATAAGATTGAAGAAAAGTAATAATGAAATATAGATCGAAAGCTTTCTCTCTCTTTTTTTTTTAATTATCACCATCATCAACAATCATAAAAATCTTCAGTCCAAACCATTAAATTCAATTGCGTGACAGATCGTACGTGTGTTATACGCTCAAACAAAATGGCTGCATCAGTTTCGTATAAGAAAAAAAAAAGAATTTAATCGAAAGATATGACATAAAATACACAAGGAAGTTTTTATTGGGTATCAGATAGGAGTATACATCATAAATTATTCCCGGAGACAGAATGCATTGCTCTTCGGTTGATCAGTCGTTCACTTATGTCGATCCGGGCTGCGGGTAACCGCATTTTCTAATCTGATTGATCTGACTCTATCTCGCAGATACCAATGCAACGTGCAAGTGACTGTGCCTTGTAACGATCAAACTGGTTGCTAATAGGTAAACGTAAGTATTGCAATGTCTAGTCTGAGTAATAAGTTGTTAATTACGATCACCTGCACCAACTAGTACGAAAGCAGCTGCCATTGATAGTGGCTTAGTAAGACAAAACGTAATTATTACATACAACATTGCATCTCTGGCAAAGTCATAATTTCAAGGTCAGTAAGCAAATTTAATTACGCGAAGATTCATGGATTTTGTATGTGCATCGAAATTACATTTCTTTTTAACAGATTTCACCGAGCAGGGATTACATCTGGAACATTGTACCTATTACAAGTTCATCCTATAATTACTGAATTTTGGAAAGAACGAGCCCTTCGATTTACGATCGTGAACCAATGAATTCAAATTTTATAAACGCATCGCGTGACTAAAACGATGCAGTCGCGTAGACTGCAGCTGCACTTTCCAGGAGTGGAAAATTTAATTGCATCCTCGAATAAGTGTCCGTTAGGTGAGTCGTTTGAATTTCTATTTCACCGATATTAGAAAAGGTGATTAAATTAATAATTGGTCGCCACTAGAACAATCCGCTGATAATGCACTACAGTAATGCTGTCCTGAATTTTTTTAGTTTTACACAGAAACTTCTAATTCGATTTGTATCTACATATAATGCATTTTAGGAAGTGAAACTCGATAGAAATAATTAACCGGAAGAACAAGAACAGGTCCGTATTCCTCATTGGTGCAGGTGCGTCTCACGACCAGTGTTAAGAACAAGGGAGAGAAGAACATGGAGATATTCATTTAAAATATCTTCAAACTTCAAAAGAGCTTCCGGTAATGGCGGGAGTTAGAACATCAGTTGAGTGTCTGAAGGTTAAGGCTGGTATACCTTTATCATTGCAAGTGTCCTGACATCCGGATGGTAGCTGGGACGAGCACGTGCGTGAGAAAAGTCTTAGACACCGGATAGAAAAAAACAAAACGGAAGAATATACGTATATCCTTACTAACGCCATTTATTCTGTCAAGTTTCTAAGTGCACCTGTATTTTACAAGATGCGGGATCAAGAGGATCTAACATCATTACACGCAATTTCAAAGTAACACGTGCACCGAATTGTCGGTTGATGTTTTACCCGGATACCATGAGGAATCGTATTGAAAAAATAACAAGGGTGGTATATACGTCTATTCAGCAGAACACTACTTCCACAATAATAATTACTTAGATACTTATGTAATTTATTATATATTTTTTCAGGACATTGAATGACGTCTAAATGATCCAATAACTTTGAGTTATACTGCATGAGCAAAATAGCTGCATATTCATTACAGTCTTTGATATTAATCTTTGCTAAGAGCTTAACAACGTTACACAGGAAAGTCAAAGAAGTTTCATCTTCGTTTGATTCTCATGAAGTTTAAGTGTCATAACTTTTGATATCAGTACTTTTCACTGTCAAGTACATACTGAATCAGTTGTATTAATCATGCTGTATCCTCGTGGTATCCCTAAAGGTAAATTTCATGATCGAATTAACGTGTTCCGGACAAACACATTGGCAGCGGAGCGGAACAACCGCGTCCAGGAATAAATCGTCGGGAGCGGATGATATCAGCCGGAAATAGAGTGCGGTATCTGTGGATCATCCGGCCAAATGGAGCGTTCAAATATGCATGCGCTAGAGAGCGTTCATTACAGAAAATGCCTATAAAGTATGCATACCAAGAAGTTCCTTATTCTTTTTTTTATTCTTTTCTTTTAATTATATGCAAGCTTTCGCAGGTGTGGACTACGCGACGGTCAATTCCGCTTGGCTCGATCGACCGTGTGAACTAATCCCCATCTGATATATATTATGTGAAATTAAACGTCGCTATGGAACCCGCATGCGGGAGACGCTATGGGAACTTTGTCGTTGTCCTTTCCAACTTTGAGAATTGGTATCATCCTCTGGAAACCCAGTCAGGTAATATTCTTGTCTTACTTAATTGCTTCCCACCAAGAGGAATATTAAGATGTAACTCTCACTGAGCAATTAAGAATACTGATTCTCGTGTGAACCAAACTTACCTAAATTTTAGGTTTTTTGTATCAACAGCTTGTACCCATACTGTATGTGGATAGTGTATGCAGAACTATAAAACCGAAATCCTTTATATTTGAAGATGGTAATCAAAAGGAACCAATCGTAGTAAGGGTAGAGTTCAGCCGCGGGACAGCTGCGTCGGGTGCTTTGAAGATGTCCCAGTCATTATCTTCGGTCTTTGGAAAGGTGTTAAATCTCAGTATAGAATCTGCCATAAAAAGGTAACATAATAAAAAAGAATGTAATAGAGGAGACATCAAGTTTGACATTGAATCAACTTTTAAGAATTGACACAAGATTATTAGATATGACAAGTACATCGATGAGAACATTTTTTCAACTGTACATAGCTCATACACAAAATTCCTAAAATACTAAAAAAAAAAAAAAAAAGAAGGTACGGGTCAGCAGGGATATAGGTAATCATTATATAACCCTTTCTGTAACGAGGTCCCATACAACGTGACAGCTTCTTCACCTGTATCGCGTGTTAATGATCTGAATGAGTCGATCAAAGGCAAGTAAATTGACAAGTAAAATAATAAAATAAAAGGGCAACAGGACTGACGTACAGTAAAAGAGTTAAAAGGAGTAAAGGTCGAACCCTAGAGCGTGGATGAGTTGTTGTTTCGATAAAGCAAAACCACAAACCTGATGACAGGAGCTTGAAACCCCATACAAAGCCACCTTTGATGCCCATAGAGGCAACATGATGGCAAAAATTGTTCAATGATACACAGTTGTAGAAGAATAACTTGAA